AAGCAAAGTCAGGGATAACTTGGCTTCCTGCTTTTCCAAGGGATAAGAATTAGACTCCAATGATTAATTCCTTTCTCCACTTTATATTTGTTTACTTATTTTTCCAGGCCACAAAAATAAACGTTTCGCTGAAGCAGGAGAAAAGTATCTAACTGTCAATATCTTGTGGCTCAGGCACGTAGGACACGGAGAAATGGTTTGGTTAGTGAAGTAAGTTAAGAGCAGTCTTTGAAATTCTCTGTATCAACAGTAGACCACCAATGTATGTCTCCCAGATTCCTGGGAAGCTTTCCATGATGGCTTCTGGTCTGAAATAAGCTATATCTTAAGCTAACAGATTCACACAGCAGAGGTAGAAAAGTTTGGAAAATGATCAATTCCTCAGTCTAGCATTAACAAATGGAATTATATTTGGAAGAAACATGCTTGAAATAAACTAAAGCTTACTGATGATCTATGAAGGCTAGAACAATTATGTCCACTGGAAGAATAATTTTAAAAAGGTGCTAATACCATTAACTACTTGGACAGAGAGATGTATCATTAGTGTTGTAATAGAGACCTCCAACTTTTGCCCTAGCTGTTAATACAGAAAGCATAACCAACAAGTTTTAGGAAAGCTTTGAGCAACATCTCTAACAGCTTTTTCTTTTTTAAATAATTACACTGGAAGACAGATTGAATCAAAAACTAAAAAAACTTAAGCTCCAAAAAAAGAACAGTCATATCACTGCAAGTTTTACCCCCTAATCTAGCTGAATTTCCAGTACACTTAATTTGGCATGCTGATTTCTTACCCCATGTTCCTCTTGCTTAGCAGACACAGTCTTATCTCTGTCTTTGGATGGCTGAAGTTGAGCCTTTACAGGAAAGATTAACTCAGCTATCTTGCCTTTAGACTTCTGATAAAAGCAAAGAACCATTTTATGTGACAGTCCACCTTGGACGTCTATTACTCTGGGCAATTGAAAGAGAAGCAGGCACCTTCGAGGAGGATATGCCTACCCAGAAGAGAGAAAAAAGCATATGGACATGCCAGTCCAGGGATGCTTTGGTCCAAGCATGCCACGCTAGATCTGTGAATAGACATACGACTTGGTATTTCTGAGCTGACAAGCCTACCTTTTCATTATAATACAAAGTGTTTCCAAGAGAGACATGACATACTGTCAGCATGGGACTGAAATCACAGGGAAATCATTAAAAAGGATTGCACTGCTGGGTTTCATAAGTCTCCAGAGATAGTCTCAAGACCAAAGGACAGACTACATATGTTAACTGGATAGAAAAAACCTCTGACAGAAAACCAGTGATAGAAAGGAATGGAAGCTATTGTGAACTCATTTGACTAAATATATCTGCTTCTTATGGACTGTTGCTTCAGAAATTGTAAGATAAAACAAAACCCGTTTCACTACAGCACATCCCGGATCTAGATTTGCACAGAGGAGACACTCTCAGGATGAAGTTACATATTATGCCTTTAGATGATTTAACATCTAACCATATGCAAATAGAGAAGATCCTATTCATGCCTCCTCGCCCACAATATGCAGAGTACTCCCTTCCTCCCATTTCACCAGTGTTTGCCAAAAATGTACCAAGCTGATTCAACACAGACTTGAATGTGCTAAAATGAACAACTTTCTGTGGGATTAACAAGTTGGATTACCTCAGTGAAGGGTCAAACAAATGCCAAAGCAATGGGACTTTACCCTAAGATGCTGAGGTTGGTGTTGTGCCTCTCCTCCACCATACAGGTGTGAAAAGACAGCACAGGTAGGAAGCAGCTGGGGATCCTAGACAACAGAAACTGCAGAAGTAACAAAGTAGGAAAGCCCAGGCACCGCAGACATCAATGACCTTCCTATCACTTTGATGCATGCCCCCTATGCACTTTGATGCATGTGCTCCTATGCACTCAAATACCTTCTCCCCGCTCCCTTCCACATCTCTTCGCTTGTCACACGTTATCTATCCTCTGAGGTTTACCATCCCCAAATCCTTATTGCCTTTCCTTAGTGTTTCTTCTTCCCCACTTAAACTCATAATCACAATAACAATAGCATTAACGCGACACTCATCACCATCGCAACAATCACCGAGGACACACATCCCACCCCTTTCCCCTTCCTTTTTCCATTTACTTACACTATCCCCGAGACTGACAATCGCAACACATTTATGCAATGACTCTGATAACAGGGTGCTGCAGTAACTACCACAAACACACACAACTACTAGTAACAGCCTTCTGATTGACCTGACATAGTCAATATACAACAGTTTTCCCTCCACATTAAAAGATCTCCCAAACCAACCAACAACCCACCAACACCACAGCCCCTCTCACAACTTCTTTCCTTCCAATGTTCAGAGCTGTGTGCAATTCCAATTAACCTCTTTGACGGACTGGAAAATAAACACACTGCTTTTCTACAAGATACTCCATTTCAGCACACAAAGAAAACAGTAAACTAGTTACCAAAAGGAAACCAATTAGAAAGCAACCCTGCGTGCATCAGATCTATTGCAGATAGCGAGCCTCCCCTTTGTATCCTTTGCTTTTGCAGGACTCGGTATGTATTTACCTGTGGCACGAAGAGTCTGAGCTAGCACCCAATATCCAAGTAGTATCCCTTGTATCCAAGTATCCCTTTGTAGTACCAAGGGAGACAAACATTGGCTGTGAAAGCATGTGGGCAGTAACGTAAGCAGAACACCGAGGTGATGATGATTAATGCACTCCTGAATGTCAAGGTACAGTGGGATTTTCGTAATTTCATAACATACCACCTTCTTTCCACATTGCAGCAAAATAAAATAAAATGTAGGTGGAGCCAGAGTCCTGCTGTTATTAGCATGCAAAGAAAATTAACTTATTTAAATTCACCCATCTGTTCTGGCCAACCATTTATGAGTAATTCTCAACATTTCAGTCACCTGAAAAAAAGGCAGTGAGTTCTAGGCACAAACACTTCCTAAGCAGTTAATATTCAGGATCACAGATGATTAAACCATACAGTGTTTCATTCTTTCAATGAGCTTTGTTTCTTGCCTGGCTTCCTGGCTGCTTTTTGCCTCTAGCATTTCTCTCCTGTTTCTGGGAGATGAAGTGGAGGTGGAGAAGAAAAGGGAGAAAAGTTCTTGGGTAGCATAAGGATTACAGTAATTTCCAATCCTTCAGCAAGGAAGAGCTTGCTCAAGGAACAGATGACCTAATGCTGCTGCCTACTCCTCCACCTCACTTTATTTTTATTTTTTTTAAACTTATGTACAGGTATTTGCAATTACAGTTATACAACCCAGGGACAAAGTTTAGTACATTTATCTCCTTTCTGCCCCCAAATCCACAGGGAAGATACCTCCCACCCACACATTTCCTCTGCCTTTTTGTTGTTGCTGTGGGCAATTTAAAACAGAAAACTGCAATTCAGAGAAATCCTCAATCATGCACCTACAGGACATTGACATTTGGTTCACACCTAAGCCTGATGTGAATGTAGATGCCACTCATCAAAAGGACAGTTATGCCACGGTTAACAAATCATCCCAACTCCCTAAATTAAACAACAGTATTAGCACAGGGACAAACTCACTTTCAAAGCATTCTTGGTATTCTGCCTGATTACCTGCCCTTGTTCAAAACAAAGGGAGAACTGTCCTCGCATGGCTCTACTTACAATTCCTTTCAGTGTTCTGAAATAAGAGCTGTTTAAGATCTTGCATTTTGTTTTTAATTGGAAAGGTCGCCTGGATTGGGTGGCGAAACGAGTCTGTACACTTTTTTTAATAAGGAGAAAGGGAAAGAGATGGGACACGGGGAAGGAGGGAAAGGAAAGTTTATTCCATCTTCATTTTTAAATTAGAAAAAGTCTCAGAGAAGTTATGGAAAAAGTATAATTAGTGAAAGAACAACACTCTAAGAGCCTACAGCATCTAATTCTCTCTTGAGCACTAGAAAACACAAAAAGGAAAGCTATGACTACTTACATATAATATGTAGGATATAATCCTTCAAAGTACCAGCAATGCTTTTTGGCCTCCGTACACTACGAAGAAAGAAAAATACAGTATTAATATTTACGTAGGACAATGTACAATTATAAACACAAGCATAGACTATATATGAATACTGTGAGTTTGAGGAATTCGGAAAGGTTTATATTCCCAAAGATTTCCCAATCCCGATACACACAGCAACTGGGAAGTCAGTTCAGTGAATGGCAAGCGTGCCCTGCCAGGGTTCAGATCCCTCACGCAGGGCTTTGTCTGTGGGGCCCCATAGCTTCCCACGATTCATGAGCAAAGTCAGTACACTCGGTGCAGGCACAGGATCCAGCTGCATGTGTTCCCTGGCAGAACTGCTGGCTTAAAAGGCCACAGAGAACTTAAGAGCCCCTTCGCGGTTATAGTCACTTAAGAGACCTCCAAGGCATAAGCAGTTTGATGACACTATGCGTATGGCTACACAGTAAATTCAATAATTGCAGGGAATTATTCATCTTTCCGGAAGTCTCTGGCGTGCGGAGCCAGGCTTGGAAAGGAGCAGAACAGAGAACCCATCCATCCTATCTCCTCTTCCTACAGCTTGGAAATATCTCAAGTGTTCATTAAAGTACCGGGGAAAGGAAACTGCTTTCTGCAGCCCAGGGGTATTGTTCTCTTTTGCAGATTGCCAGCGTATCCTTGTTAAAGGATGGCGACAGGCATTTTCTCAGCATGTGTGTGCAGGCAACGTGGGAAGCACACATCATTATGGGCACTGCCAGAATACAGACGGCAGCTCAGAACAATAGTGGCGCTTAAAAAAGAAAACCAGATGTCAAGCCCAAACTATATACAACGCACAAAATATTTCTGCGTATCCCACTGACATCACTAGCACAAAATGCCGTCTTCATTGCAGATGTAGCTCCAGGAGCTCCACCGCAAGCTGCGTTATCCGATCACACGCAGCCAGGGCATTGTGGGACACCCTCCACAGAGCAGCGAGGAATATCTTGCTGGGGTTTTAGCAACAATTCCCTCTGCTGCTCACACCTGACACCCGCTGTCGGAGAGTGCTCAGCACACCGGCGGTGCTTGAATCATCCTTCATGTTCACTTGGCAGCTCACCTTTAAATAATAGCTCATATAAGTTTATTAGTCTCCCCGAATCACAGAATACTAAATGAATCCCGTTAAGACAAAGTGGTTTTAGATCCCCAACTCTCACTCCTCATGAGTAAGAAAGGCTGCAAGCTCTTTAATGAGCATCTGATGAGCTAAATCACAGGCAGATCAATTACAGCCCATCAAGACAAACTGCTATGGATTAAATTGTTAAGAGTGGTACAGGAGGTGGCGGGAGGAGGAAGAGGAGGAGACGCTTTTGATGCATGTGATCAGGCCTTTCCACTAATACAACAGGCTCACACCAGTCTTCAAGATGTACAAGCTTTAGCTTCTGTTGAAAGGGCTGGAGCTTCTTCCTTGGGATAAACACAGCAGAAGCCTCGTTCCCCTCTCAAATCAATGCCGGGGTCTAAGCAGTATATGCAGGAGGGCTCCGTAGCTGCTGCTGGAGCAAGTGGTGTTCAAAGATCCATCTCCACATTTGCCCTATTCCCCTTCCCCCCGCACCTTCACAGTTTCTAACTCCTTAAACCTTCCTTCCGAATATTTTCATCAGCTGGCTGCTTCCTCTTACTCTAAAATTAGAAATATGCCAAGTTTCTCTCCGTAACACCCTGCAAAGACATATGCATTGTAAACCCAGCAGGTCTGCAGCTGAGTCAATGAAAAATACTTTGGCTCTTCACCTTTGAAGGCTGCAGATCAGCAGGCCCTGGCTAAAAATCTCAGTGCCTGCAGGTCAACCCCTTGGGAAAGCCTCATTTCAGAGCCCAGCTTGGGATGTACGCCGTTAAATGTTTTTCCTTCCTGCTTCTCAACCAATATGAGTCACCGTTTACCTCAACAGCCTTAAAGCCTTCGTCAGTCTCGAGCATTTTAATTGATGCTTTCCTGGCAGTGTTTCTGAGCACGTGGAGCCTGCGTACCCTTTACAAGTGTAAAGGGGACATTTATATTCAGCACTCATTCTGCTCGCCCTCCTCCCCGTATTTTAATCCGCTTTACAAGTTCTAAAATGCGTTGGGAAGATTCCTCCTTCCCATATCTCCCAAGTTGCAAGATTTCTGTTTCTGCTGCTTAACAATTCTCTGTTTCAGACAGCCAATATGCCTACTGCTGTCACAAGAAAGGCTCCAGCCTGGGAAAGTTTTGCAAGTAACAGTTCCTTCTAGCTTACAGGGTTTAGATACCTGCACCAAAAATCCTTCGGTGCCCAGACTTTGCTTTTATATGGGCCCTGGAACAGCAGGTACCAATCCCGATTCTGCCTTTTTTTAATATCACAGTGCTATGAATACTGCGTGGCAGTTGCTCAGCTCTCCTACATGGGGATCAGGCAAACGAGCTAGTGGACCTCAAGTGTGAGCAGCACAGCCGAATCCGATACACACGACATGCCAAACAGATTTACACACACAGGGCAAACCGCTGCGGTCCCTGCTCAGTTAAAACTCCTACTGATCTCCATGGCAACTTTACGCCAGTAAACCCCGACATAAAGCAGGCGGCTACTAACCACCGTCCCTACCGCTGGTTAGCGGACCTCGCAGGAATTCACTGCTAAGAATAAGACAAGAATGTCATTGCCTCTAATGATTTGAGCCTCTTTAGCACTGAGGTACCAGAGAGATGAACAGGGTAGTCAGGGCACGGATTAGTTTTTCCCTATAGGCTATGATCATCCATCTCTTGCAAGATCCAAATTATTCTTCTGAGTGGTACTGGCCTCTTAGTTAAGCTGGTGGAGAGCCATACAAGCGTGCGAGGGGATGTACGCCATCAGCAGCAGGCTCTCATCCTCACAGAGCCTTTGGAAGACAATGTCCTTGTAGTTGTTTGAGACTATTAAACCCTCAAGAAACGGCAGCTGGCAGCAACTCACTGCAGTCCGCAAAACAGACACAAAGGGAAGATTACTCATATTACTGCAATACAAAAGGACCTCAGACATCAGGGTTGGTGCCTGCTCCACTAGCTCCTGTACGAAGACAGGCCGTATCTCAGAGTTTCTAACAAGTGTTCGTTCTTGTCTTTAAAAAGCCATTTACCCATACACTAATAGCAAAAAAAAAAGTGTGTTTATGGTTTTAAACTAAGCTTAGGTACGGCCCTGCTGATGCTTTCAGCTTTTCTAGGAGAAGGACTTTGCACATTTTGCTTATAAATTCCTCCTTCTATGTCCTTTAATAATTTGGCACAGCTATAAAATATAAATACAAAAGTACGTTCATTTTTTAAATAAATGATGCAGGTCTAATTGGGTGTGCATATGTAATCTTTAGAGAATTAATGGTATGTGAATTAGCCAGATGCTTGAGTACATTCCTTAAGAGTGCGTATTTGGAAAGAGAAAAAATAAGAGACTTGGGTTTTTGTTTGTTTGTTTTTAAAGAAATCAGCATCTGTATTCTAGCCTGATTTCTTTGACAGACTGCAGCAACGCAAACTGCAAGCCGTCCTTTTCTGTGGCCTCTAAATTCATTCAGATTTCCTTTAAGAAAGGAAATGTGCTTCCTGCCACAGACTGAAATTGCAAATGTTACTGCTGCTAGTAAGAGCAATGAGAAAGAGAAGTTACTAAAACATTAACCAAAGACTGCTTTTGATCACACCATAAAACACAGAGCGCGAGTACATATGTATGCACATGGTGTGGGGGAAGACAGAGCAGGCAGCCTGCTCACTGAATGTCAGATGGTACTCTACAGATCATTAGTTATGTTTTGCAGGATTTGCAGAAATACTATCTCTAGCAGGAATATCCTCCACATTGCACATCATTACCTTTCAGTCCACAGGACAGTAAAAAGAAAACAGATCTGATCAATTAATTACTCTTTGCAATCAAGAGAGCGGTGGATTCTTGTCCAGTGCATTTATTGGAGGTTTGGAAAATAATAATAAAAAAGTAAAAACAATTACAGCCCCATCTGCAGATAGTAAATACTTTCCAGTATGAGTACAGTCCATTTTTGTTACGGGTACCAATGAAAAAAGCAGCCTGCTATGGACAGACGTGTTTGTGGAGGGCAGGGGGAGGGCGATTGCTATCTGTATGCTGAAGGGACATTCAGAGTGAGTTTGTGACATCTGCTCAAAGCCAGATTCTGTAGAAGGCACAGGTCTGCTATCGATCACAAAGTTAATGAAACCCTATCAGTTACCAGCAACCAAGGGTGTGGCTCTTTCTTTTTAACCAGACAAAAAGCCAGATGCTACACACAACTTCCATTACGTATTACAGTTACAAGGATCCAAATAGGTAGATTCAGAAGGAAAAAAAGCAGGAATTTAACTGAGTGACCTGTCATACTGATATGACACAAATGACTCCCAGTATTCTGGGATGACCCACTTACTGGCTGTCACCTCCCATTCAGCTGGGTGTACGCTATACATTAGCAGGGTGCAAGTTGATCCAAATGCCGTTCTTGTGGCTACAGCCTCTGAGGCTCTGCTAGGATTAATTCACAGGTGAACAGGAAGAAAGAGTTAAAAGTATCTAAGCCATGGAACAAGGCCTCATCTTTTCTGAGCATCACACAATCCTATTCCAACATACACCCAGAACTCTGCCTTCCACACAGCTAGATCAAACTAGTAATTGAGGAAATAGGAAGGACAACACCTTTCTGACCACATGGCTCCACAGCATCTGAGAAACAACTGGCTATGCCTGCTGCCTCTGTTACAGAAGGTCTCTTGCAAAACTCACCCAGCACAGATCTTTCCCAGTTTTATTGGTCACTGCACCTGGCAAGTACTCAATGGAACCCAGACAAAAGGATGGGACAGTCTACAGTGCAACTCCAGACTAAATAATCAGTTCCAGAAGGCACATTATTGGCTAGGAATCACAATGTTTTATAGGATCTGACCTTTAAAATTGTATCAGTTTTCAGAACACTATCCATTTCAAGTGCCTAGACAAGAGCTGAAAGCGTTATGAGATACTAGCTCCTCATTAGATACGGTGCGCTGAAATCAGAAGGACTTCTGCATGCTGCAAGTTTGAAAGATTGGATTTGCAGAGACAAGAATATGAGCATACTGCTCCTCCATAGCCAAGAAAAGGGCAAAATATCATCCATTAGAGTTAAGAGACAACATATACTGAAATTGAAAAGTGCAGCCTAAGGGTGAAAACAATTTACTACAGAAAATACATTTTGCTTTAGCCTTGCCTGAATCCATCAAAAATCATCCCCACTTCTTCCCTGGTGATGCTAACAGGTAAGGGTAAAAGTAGCCCATCTCCAAACTATTCCAAGAAACTGAGCTCGCAAACAATGTTACCAGTGATTTCAACAAATACAAAAGAGAGAAGCAACTCTTACTAAAAACCAGGACTACGTTAAGGTATTTTTATTTACTAAGGTAACGAGGAAACAGCAGGAAACTCTTGTATAATAGGATGCTGATCCTTTACCAAGCTTCCCTTCCCATGTAACAGTAAACAGAACAAATACCATTCCAGATATACAGTTGTTTCATCAAGACCAAGATTACAGAGTCATATAACTCATAGTATAAAGAATGATTTTCATATATTTTAGAAGTTGTTTCTGTCCAGTCTTTCTGGCTGTTCCCATATAGGATTCTTAAAAGAAGCAACTTTTCCGCCTCGAATTAATCAGTCTGTGTTTTGCAACAGTAAAAACATTCCAGCACAAGCAGCTAATTCTTATTAGTTCTTCTGGTGCTCAGAGCACATGCATTAATCATCATATTTTTATTTAGAATTAATCTGGGTTTAGCATTAGATAGCCTCCCATCACAAAGCATTACTTTACATTTAGATCGATTAACCCTTCCCACAAAAGAAACACAAATATCCCTTCTGCGCAATTTCACTTCAGGACTCTTTTTTTTTTTTTTTTT